TTTAAAAAAATATATTTATGAATGTATGGAAAGAGGACAAAAAAGAGGAGGAGGTCTAGCAGCCAAGTGGTCATTTTTGGACCTTATAAATAAAGTACACACAAGTGGCTCACAGGGCTCTGTTGACTCTGCCGACTCTGCCGACTCTGCCGTGACTCGTATAGGCTGGGTTCGGATTAAAGTTTTAGAATCTATCGTTCAAAGAATTTAAATTTTTTTATTCAACATCTTGATGTAAATAATATATTCTTTAAATAGTTAAAAAATATTAATTTTAAATTATGTAAAAATTGAGTTTCAAGAGACCATTTGACCAAAAAAAAAACCACAGTTTTAAGTTGCACTTAAAATGGTCTTGAAACGTCAAACCCATTCCTCTACCCCCCCACCCCGGCCCAAAAAGAAAAAAAATTAGATTGAAATGCTATTTGGTCTGAGTATGACTCACTGGAGTCATGAAGACTATTATATGTGTATACCCAGGCTTGGGCCTACAAGACTGAAACGTTGGGACTGGACTCACAAGGAAAATCCAACATAAACTGGCCCACCCTAGTCCAGTAAATTGGGTTACTAACGTGCAATTCGCTGTTGAAACGGAGTGCTTAAATCAGAGTCTCCAGGGCACTCTGCCGCCAGATTTGGTCAGGCTTCCTTATACCTTCAAGTAATGTAAGTAATTTTTCCAAACATTTTCTTCACCAATCTGAATTTGCCCCTATTCCTCTTTATAATTACCCTGTTTCCCTTTTGTTTTCTCATTAGTCTATTCTAATACCTTGTTACAGTGACCTTAGTCGCAACTACCTCAGTGGTACTATCCCTCCAGAATAGGGTTCCATGCAGCTTGTCAACATGTATGCCTTCTCATGTTCAAATATTTACACATTAGTGTAAAATTCTTCATATAATCACATAACATAATCATATATGTTACATTGTCCACTGGAGAAATTTTGAGTTTTGACTCTACGTGAAAGGATGATAAGAAATTTAAATCATATTTAGACTGAAAAAAGGCATAAATATGTTGGAATCCACAAGAATAACATGAGAAAATCTTTTTCTAAAAATAATTCTTATTCAAAATATCATATTGAAGTCTACTTGGCAGTAAGTCTTACATTGATTTATAGTCTATCCATCCTAAAATAATTGTTATTTTTTTATTTTGAATTTATCCCAAATTAATTGTTATTTTTTTTAAAGATAGGTAATTTTTTTTTCTTATTTTAACTTTGTCATTGTTTATTTACTTTAATTAATTATTTAATTATAAAAAATTAATTTTTGCCTTTTATTTCTTTTTCAAAAATGTCATAAATATAAATAAATATTGTCTCTTAATCTTTAATTGAAAAAAAATTAAAAAACTAATTATTTTATGATGAAGAGAGTCTGTAAAGCCCAACATTCCATTAATTAATTAAGAGTTTAATCCTTTATGTTAGAGCTCTGAAGCTCAAATCATGGGATGGGTAGGGTGGTTTGGGAAGAGGAGAGATACAGCCTATTGTATAGTATAGGCCATAGCTCATATATGTTGCCCTTGAGCATGTATGTTTGTTCATGGCTGCCTTAATACTATGCTCTGTTGTTTATATATTGAGAGCAGAATTTGGATGTTAATGCCGCAGCTCTCTTCTTGGAAATCGCTTAACGGGTCCGATCCCCAAAGAGATAGGAAACATAAGCACTCTTATCGAATTGTGAGTTCTTTTGACAATGAATTTTTGTTGCTTTCGTAGTTTATTTATGTTAATGTGATGGATTCATTCTTACGTATCCATGAAAAATGTGTAGGAATGTCGAGATTAATCAACTGTCAGGTGCTTTGCCATCGGAGCTTGGGAACCTAACCAGCATTGAGAGACTGTTAGTTTGTTTCTCTTGTGTTTGATTTAATTTCTGACTGAAAAATGTCTCTAGAATTTTTTACCATATATATTTGTTCATACATAAGTAATGGCATTATTTGACATTCTTCTTTCCAATGTTGCAGTCTTCTTACCTCCAACAACTTTACTGGAGAATTGCCTGCAACATTTTCTAGGCTAACCTCGTTGAAGGACTTGTAATCTTCTGATTTTTGTTAATTTTCAAGGTTTAGTTTATTAAATGGGTTAGTTTGTGATATTTGTCTATTTTCAACATAATGCAGTCGGATTGGTGACAATCGCTTCATGGGAGTTATACCCAGTTTCACCCAGAGTTGGACAAATCTTGAAAAATTGTGAGGGTTCTGTATGTGTTTCACATTTGTACTGTAATAAAGTCATTTGAATCAGTGTTTATCTCTTTTTCCTCTTAATTAACTAAAGTAAACATCTGATCTTAACAGATTTATTCAGGCAAGCGGCTTGATGGGGCCAATTCCTACTAGCATAAGTGGTTTAGAAAAGCTAATTGACTTGTAAGTGCAGATTCTAGATTTTATATTTTTTAAATCTGCAAATTGGGGATATTTTGATTGTGTCTTTTTGTTTAAACTCTGTTGAATATTGTTGATATACAGGAGAATTAGTGATTTAGATGGTGGTCAAGCAACTTTTACACCACTTAGTAGGATGCTCAATATGAAGACACTGTGAGTATAATTTTACACTGATGCATTTCTCATTAACTAAGTCAAGGGCATTTCTGTGACATAAATGATTAATAGATTCTTTTGGTTGCCTTAATTACAGGATACTGAGGAGTTGCAATATCGTCGGAGTACTACCTGATTATCTGGGGCAAATGACATCTTTGATGACTTTGTGAGTGCACAATTGGTTTCTTGTATCATTCTAGACACGATCGATATAACTACTTTTTAATTTAATCTCCTTGATATGAATTCTCTCGCAGAGATCTTAGCTTCAACCAACTAAGTGGAGAAATACCAAGTAGCGATTCTGGTCTTGCAACGATTAAATTCATGTAATCATGTCTTTGAGTGATTAAAATTAACTTTTTTTTGCCATAAACTTCAGCTCTTTTGTTTCATCATGCTTAGATTGTGCAACACCACTGGTACATCTTCTATATTTCCTGATGACTTATTTATGTTAAACATGTAATTATAAAGCATTTTTTTGTTTTGTTCATTTTAGGTATTTAACTAAAAATTTGCTTTCTGGGACAATTCCTCCTTGGATACTGGAAAAAAGAAACGATATGTAAGATTTTGTTTTCAATTCTTCATTGAAGTACTTTTATTCTAAGGAAGTATTTTGACAAATCTTTCAGATTGCCATTAAGAATTTGCTATTGAAATATCCCTGCCGAGTGCTTTGTTAATTGGTTCATACTCAAAATGTAACCTGTACAATATTTCCTTATCCGTGTACTTTATTTTCTTGACTTCAGCACTTTAAGTTTACTAGGTTATGTGAACTATAAAGTTTAAGTTTATACATTTATCAAAATCAATCTGTCTTCATATATTTTAGAGAAACTGATGAATTATCACTAAACAATAATTTATTTTTCTCGTTAGTGATCTTTCATATAACTACTTCACAGCTGGGAGCCAAGGGGCAACAAGTTGTCAAATACAGAATGTGTAAGAATCTTATCATCTAAGTTAGTTTATTTTCAATAAATAGGAACTTAGTGTATTTAGCTATTACAGAAGAAAACTTTTGTTATGCAAATTGATCTTTACCACTTGGTCCTGTTTCCTAGAGGAATTTGTTTGCAAGCTCTTCAGGGAGTGATAAGTTGTAAGTTTTAACTCCATTCTCAAAGAATATGCTTCCTAAAGATTTCATTGTGCTGTTTCACTTTGCTGTCATGATCCTGACATTATCTGGACCTTGTATGGTATCAGAGGTGACGTTTCGTGCTTGGGAATCTCTAATTGTCAAAAAAGTAAGTTCGAATAAAATGTTTTCATATATAATGTTTGGTTTTGATGATAGCTCTTGGATTTTGTTTCCCTTTTTTAGGAAAAGCTTGCAATATTTCAGTGAGTATCCTATAAATAAGGAAAAAATGGTTTCTGAGGAGTGTAAATAAGAGGGCTGTTCTTACTTACCTTATGATAGAAGATTTAATTGCAGTATTTTAGAGTGGTTGCACATACGCTGCATTCATCGGAACATTCTTTCTTTCTTCCTAGGAAATTTCCTCAATCTTCCTTCAAAATCTCAAAACCATAACGTTTAGCGATGCTCAACCAGTTACTTGAGATTTCATTTGCTCTTTATTCTTCTTGAATGGTTAGTAAGTCATCATTTTTATGTTTCAGAAAGATATTCTCTCTATATCAATTGTGGTGGAAGCAAAGTAACTGTCAATGAAAATACCACGTATGAAGATGATATAGATGCATTAGGACCTTCGAGATTTTTTGAAAGTAGAAGCAATTGGGCAATCAGCAACATTGGTAACTTCTTGGATGATGACAAAAATCCAGACAATTTGATCGCTACGAACACATCTAAACTTTCTGTGAAAGATTCAGAACAGTACATGAATGAACGCCTTTCAGCCATCTCTTTAACTTATTATGTATTTTGTATGGGGGCAACTACACAGTAAATCTCCATTTTGCGGAGATTATGTTCACTGATGATAAGACATACAACAGCTTGGGCAAGCGCATATTTGATATTTACATTCAGGTAGCTAACATTGATCTTAATTCCAAAAACGTTACATTTTCAGAGTTTGATTGAAACCAGTAAAAAGGAAAAATTACCATATGCCTGCATGGAATATTCAATAGCTGGAATGCATAATTGTAGGGATTGCTGGTTCAGAAGGATTTCAACATTGCAGCTGAAGCAGGTGGGGTTGGCAAGGCTATCATAAAACAGTTTCCTGCAAGTGTGACTAATGGTAACTTGGAGATTCATTTATATTGGGTTGGAAGAGGAACAACAGCCATTCCTATTGGAGGAGTTTATGGTCCTCTTATATCTGCTATATCTGTGAATCCTAGTAAGTTGAATAATACCGCAGATTTCTTCTTATATGTTAATTTTTTTTTCCTTACAGATATTTAACTTGTTCAAAAGCTGCACTATAAATGCTTAAATTATGCATTCAGTACACCTAGCAGTTAAATTTCATTACATATTTTTACTTGAGATTTGTGTGACTAAACAATTATGATCTTCTCGTTATCCTCATAGTTTTCTTTGGGCAGATGCTGCACCTCATTTCGAAAATGTGGGTAGGTCTAGTTTATCCATAGGAATGATGGTTGGAATTGTGGTTGGAGCAGTATTTGCTATCTTCTTGATTGTGGGCATCATTTGGTGGAAATGCTGCAGAAGACAGAAAAGCACATTAGAACAAGGTACTGTAGTGAAATCAGCATTCAATTACATTATTTGGTGGAAATGCTGCAGAAGACAGAAAAGCATATTAGAACAAGGTATTGCAGAGAAATCAGCATTTAATTACATTATTTGGTGGAAATGCTGCAGAAGACAGAAAAGCACATAGAACAGGGTACTGTAGAGCAATCAGCATTCAATTACATTACTGGCTGGCTTTTTGTGAACTTTTGGAAATGAAGAAAGTTTAGTACTAACCTTATAAATGATTCTCTCGTCTTTCTCGTCTTCTGCATAGATCTAAAAGGTATGGACTTGCAGACTGATTCTTTTACTTTGAGGCAGATTAAAGTGGCCACCAACAATTTTGGTCCTGCTAATAAGATTAGAGAAGGTGGTTTTGGTCCTGTTTACAAGGTATCATGTATTAAGAATGTTTCCTTTTAATCCTATAGAAATTTGTTTAAATTAATCTCATGGTATTTCTCAAATGCAGGGTCGTTTGATAGATGGTAAAGTTATTGCTGTTAAGCAGCTATCTGCTAAATCAAAGCAAGGGAATTGTGAGTTTGTGAATGAAGTTGGCATGATCTCTGCTCTGCAACATCCTCATCTGGTAAAGCTATATGGATGTCATATTGAAGAAAATCAACTCTTACTAATGTATGAGTACATGGAGAACAATAGCCTCGCTCGCGCATTGTTTGGTGTGTTTCATTCACATTATTTTCTTAATGCTCTTGTATTATAAAATTTTTCCAAGAATGAATATATGACAGTGAC